CTCCACACCATTACGTTTTTTTTTTGTTTTATTTTTTCTTTTTTGTGAAGAGAAAATAGAGAGAGAGAAAAACAGAGAGAGAAGTAATTAGAAAGATAGAAAGACTGAAATAGTGATTAGGATTATATTAAATATAGGCCTACACCAACAAAACACAGGACCACACTCCCAACATCTGTCCGCTCGCCTGAAAAATAAATGGATAAATACATAGAGGGCATATATAAAAATACACACATACCCATACATATATAAAGATATACCAATACTTTTATCAGTACTTTTACTTTTAATACTTAAGTAGATTTTGTGTCAGAAATTTACTTTTGATTCTTAAGTACAAAAAATATCAGATACTTTAAGAGTTTTACTCAAGTAATATTTTTAGAGAAGTCATTAACTTTTACCAAAGTATTTTTATAAGATACTTGTACTTTTACTTAAGTATCACTTTGAGGTACTTTTTACAACACTGATTTTTAACTAAGAAATAGAAGTGTCCGTTGAGATGCATCAAATAGATCACATTGTGTTTTAAATACCTGCTGGTGTTTGACAGTATGAAGAGTCAAAATTTAGACAAGTCTTGGTGCAACTTAAGGGGCAGAATTTTTTATTTCTGAAGTACATAATTCCATTTTAAAATTTTGCTTTATTGTGGTGTCAGAAAAAGCCTTGTGAGCACGTCAAAAACACGCCCTGAATATTTTTAATTTAGCATAAATTAAAAATAAAAGTGTTTTGATGCAGCAAAGTTTGTCCTGTTATTGCTGTATTTAAATATAAGTCGTGCACTCAGATGTTCATCGTTAGGAGTCACCGTGAATGCTCATGAAAGTTTGAAATGACCTTCAGTTTACTGTACGCTTCTAAAGGAACTGAAACAACAGTGTAGATAGACATAACAACAGTGTAAATAGAAAGTTTCCATACTTACTTTAGAAAAGAGGAAGCTTTTCTGCAGGGACCCAAGTGGTGAGATGAGCTAAAAGAATATAATAATAATAATGTAAATGCTTCTCTACCTCAAAATAAGAATATTGTGTGTAAAAATTAATAAAGTGTTGACTTTACTAGTTTGTACTTGAGAAAGGATTTTCAATAAACTAAGAAGCTCAATGTGTGATTATTTTTATCAACTTGAAAATATCAAACTTTTTTTCTTGCCAAATTGTCAACCTAATCCAAAACTGTTTGTGCACCATTAAGAAGACAGACCACGGTGTACAATCTAATGCTCATAGATAAAATAGAAACAAGTACACGAATACTAAATAAGTACATAAACAAACAATTAGGGAATTAAACAAGTAAAGAGCGAGTCTACTAAATGTGTTGTAATACTTTAAATTGGCCACATGGGGGCGCTGGAACGCCGCAGCTCACCTGGACCAACAAATTAGATCAATTATGAGTTGCCTGATTTTAAATGGTTTCTTTTCTCTTTATTTTATTTATTTATTTATTTATTTTGTCACATAAGTTCTATTTCACTTTGATTCACAGTGATGTTTTGTCGTTTTCTGTAAACGGGAAATTATCCATTTATTCCCACCTCTTCGGAGCGCGCGCGCGTGTGCGCACAGAAATGTAGGAAGTAACTTGAACTTTTTCGAGACTAAGAAGAAACTACGTCAAATGTCTCGGTGAAGCTGAAGAGCAGGAGGTAAAACAAGACGAAGGAAAGTCTTGAGGAAACTATTTCACCACCATGGAAAACTCTTCATAGGGACGTCAAGTTTCCGGGTTTCACCCTTTTTTTTTTTATCCTGGGGAATTTCAGGTGAGGAAACTTTTTTTTTCTCCTGAAGTGGCGTGATTGTAGACTTGGTGCACAAGTCTTCCTGTTAGCTTAACTGTCAGCGTGCTTTGATTTTCTCTCTCTTTTTTTAGATGAAATGAGCCACTTCTTGGACAGGTGAGGTTTGATTTGACAATTAATTCAACACCTGTTACTGTTTGTCATCTGGTGACTGTGTGGAGTTATGTTGGGAATAAAAGAAGGATTATTACTGTTAAAATAACAAAAATAGTCAGTTAAATACATATTTCTGTGGGGTTTTTTGTACTCTTAATTCATTTACTTCACAATAAAGTGGTGATTTTGCTCTCTTTGTGTGTGACTCTCCAGAAAACAGTGTAAGTTATGCTGAGGCCCACCTCCGAGTATCAGGATGAACACTACGCATGGAGCTGGGACCCCCAAGCCAGATGAGGAGACTCGTGTTGTGCAGATCTACCCCACACTGCTCCAAGAGCCAGAAACCCACTTTCCCCTGCAGCTCGGCATCAGGGACACGGCCAGGACGGTCATCCGCAACGCCGTGGTCACCCTGGGCCTGGACTCCAGCCTGAGGTACGGGCTGCTGGAGGTCAGGGAGAGCGGCGAGCGGGAGACGCCCCTGGAGGATGAGGACTGCCCTCTTTTGCGAGTCCTACTGTGGCCCCCAGAGGCGCAGAAGTGGCACCGCCGGAGCCTCGGCTACTACTTCGCCCTGCAGCGGAAAGACGACGACGCAGCGAAGCGATTAGAAACGGACCTGGAGGACTCCGATGACCTTTGCAACCTCTCCACGGTGACCGAGGACACGGTCCTGCAGGTCTTACGCCGGCGCTTCTACAAGCGTAAAATCTACACCTACATCAGCGACATCCTCGTCGCCGTCAATCCCAATAAGTTCCTACCTCAGTACTACAACCCCAAATATGTCAAGATGTATGAGAAGCAGCCGCTGGGCAGACTGAGCCCTCATATATTTGCCGTAGCCGATGTGGCCTTCCGCGCCATGCTGAGCAGGCAGGTGAACCAGTGTATCGTCATTTCTGGTGAGAGCGGCTCGGGGAAGACTGAAAGCAGCAGCTACCTTATTCACTGCCTGACAGCCATCAGCCAGAGGACCTACTCCAACAGGCTGGAGCGCACCATCCTCGGGGCCGGGCCCGTATTGGAGGTAGGTGGCAGGAAGCTGGGGCAGCTGTTGAAACCACAGTCATGCATGAACATCACAGTATCCTAAACCTGAAAGTAGGGATGTCAGGTAATATCGGCCTACTGATATTATCGGTCTGATATACAGTGGGTAAAATAAGTATTGAACACGTCAACATTTTTCTCAGTAAATATATTACTAGAGGTGCTAATGACATGAAATTTTCACCAGATGTTGGTAACAACCCAAGTGATCCATACATACAAAGAAATCAAACCATAAATGTCCAGAAATGAAGTTATTTGTAATAATGTGGAATGGCACAGGGAAAAAGTATTGAACACACTTACTGAAAATTATCTAATACTTTGTACAAAAGCCTTTGTTGTCAATGACAGCTTCAAGACGCCTCCTGTATGGAGAAACTAGTGGCATGCATTGCTCAGGTGTGATTTTGGTCCATTCTTCCACACAAACAGTCTTGAAATCTTGAAGGTTTCGTGGACCTCTTCTATGAACTCTGATCTTTAGTTCTTTCCATAGATTTTCTGTTGGATTCAGGTCAGGTGATTGGCTGGGCCATTCCAGCAGCTTTAGTTTCTTTCTCTGAAACCAACTGAGAGTTTCCTTGGCTTTGTGTTTGGGCTCATTGTCTTGCTGAAATGTCCAGCCACGTTTCATCTTCATCATCCTGGTAGATGGAAGCAGATTTTTATCAAGAATGTCTCTGTACATTTTTCCATTCATCCTTCCTTCAATTATTTGAAGTTTGCCAGTACCATATGCTGAAAAACAGCCCCACACCATGATGTTCCCACCTCCAAACTTCACTGTTGGTATGGTGTTTTTGGGCTGATGTGCAGTGCCATTTGACCTCCAAACATGATGTGTATTCTGGCATCCAAACAGTTCAATGTTGGTCTCATCTGACCAGACTATATTCTCCCAGTATTACACAGGCTTGTTTAAATGTTGTGCAGCAAACTTTAAAGGAGCTTCAACATGCTGTTTCTTCAGCAGTGGAGTCTTGTGTGGTGAGCGTGCATACAGGCCATGGTGGTTCAGTGCATTACTTATTGTTTTCTTTGAAACAAACGTACCTGCTAATTCCAGGTCTTTCTGAAGCTCTCCACAAGTGGTCCTTGGCTCATGGACAACTCTTCTGATAATTCTTTTCACTCCTCTGTCAGAAATCTTGTGAGGAGCACCTGGTCGTGGTCGGTTTATGGTGAAATGATGTTCTTTCCACTTCTGAATTATGGCCCCAACAGTGCTCACTGGAACCTTCAGAAGTTTAGACATTCTTCTGTAACCGATGCCATCATTATGCTTTGCACCAATAAGGTTGTGAAGGTCTTGAGAGAGCTCTTTACTTTTACCCATCATCAGATGGTTCTTGTGTGATACCTGGTCATCATTTGGGACTGAACCAGCTGATATTAACTTGCACTGACAAGGGGCAGGCTTGTTTTCTAATTACTGAGAGAGTTCAGCTGGTGTCTTGGCTTTCCATGCCTTTTTACACCTCCCTTTCTTCATGTGTTCAATACTTTTTCCCTGTGCCATTCCACATTATTACAAATAACTTCATTTCTGGACATTTATGGTTTGATTTCTTTGTATGTATGGATCACTTGGGTTGTTACCAACATCTGGTGAAAATTTCATATCATTAGCACCTCTAGTAATATATTTACTGAGAAAAATGGTGACGTGTTCAATACTTATTTTACCCGCTGTAAGCATAAAAATGTAAAATCTCTATATATCGTTATCAGTTTTTTATTCGTTTTTAGCAAGGTTTGCTAGTTTGTGAAAAGCAACTGAGTCAAAAGCAAGGAAGAGGCATGGATGGAAGTAGTTTTTTACAAAATATTCTGCAGGATGCGTGTAAAAATATAGACTTTTTCAATGCGGCCAAATAATCCACAAAGAAACAGGTACTGGTTTTGGAGCTCTTCATCAAGCGAACAAGTCATTCCTCTGAAATTTATCAGGAGCCATGACTAAAAATTAGTAAAAAGAGAAGAGAAAATAAAATAAAACCTTCAGAAAGGATGAAAAGTCAAAACCACTTTAAAATATTAGAAGAAGTAGCTAGTTTTAAACAACAAAATGGGGTTAATAAATGCTTGCGGTCTAGAGACGTTCACAGGTGTGCAATTGATGACATCATCAAACTGGATTATCTCAGGGAGAGCATGATCCCAAATATCGTTTGAGACAAAATGGTAAAAAAAAAAACATAAATATGGCACCTTTCCCCTAACTTCAGTTATATGGTTTTTATTTTTGTACAAACAATGTTTACCTATGGAGTATCAAAAAGCAGGCGTAATGACCCTGACAGGAGATATGTGATGTCACCTTAATATCTGTTTTTAATATCGGAATCGGAAATTTAAATGTTGAGCAGTATCGACAAAAATATCGAGCATCTCTACCTGAAAGTAACAACTTCTGGTTTAAATAGCAGGGAGTAAAAAAAGAGGAGCATCTTTTTTCATCTCTGTGACCTTTTTAGAAGTGTGTAAAGTGTGTAAAGTAAAAGATTTGAGAATTATAACAGTGAAACCCCATTTTGTTGTTTAAAACTATCTGCTACTTCTAATATTTTAAAGTGGTTTTGACTTTTCCTCCCTTCTGAAGGTTTTATTTTATTTTCTCTTCTCTTTTAACTAATTTTTAGTCATGTCTCCTGATAAATTTCAGAGAATTGACTTGTTCGCTTGATGAAGAGCTCGAAAACCAGTACCTGTTTCTTCGTGGATTATTTGGCCGCATTGAAAAAGTCTATATTTTTACATGCATCCTGCAGAATATTTTGTAAAAAGCTACTTCCATCCATGCCTCTTCCTTGCTTTGACTCAGTTACAGTTGTTTTTCACATACTAGCAAACCTGCTAAAAATTAAAATAACTAACTTTTTTTCCCCTCTCCGGTCCATGGGAAAGTTGACTTGCATAAAACCAGTCAGTGGTTCAAAAATGGTTTTGAGCTGCTGTGTTAAGCCATTAATCTCTGACCTTTGAGTCATTCGGGTATAAAAAAAAAAAAAAACTCCTAAACACAAGGAGTGAACCAGAACAAAACACTTGGCAAAGAATCAAATTTAAATAGGATTGGTAGGTACTTTTTGTTCTGTTCTTGTCATAAGAGATATAATTTCTTTATATTTGTCCAGTTAAACCTGTGGAAAATATTTAAAGATTACACAGTTTGGTGTATAAAATAGTATTTTAGCACCAAGGAGGCAAATACCAGAGTTTTTATTAAACTTACAACCGATAATTGACTGTTTCAGGCTTTTTCTTCTTCTTCTTTATTTTTGTTCATCTGCTGTTGATAGTTTTTTAAAGTTATACTTCTTTTGTTCTTGACTTGTCCACTTTCCTCACATCTTATAGCACAATGCTGTCATGTATGGCTGCACAACATATCAAACATATGGGCATAAACTGCAATAATCGACTCAAATATTTGCATTTATGCGTTTTCTCCATCATGCTGAAGCTTAAAGGATTTGACCAATGAAATGGAGCTTCTCACGTATTTGGCCAATCGGATGCATCTCTCATGTCAGAAGCCCACCCCCTACATAGATGTGGGTAGATACCAAACAACTAATTAATTACAAAGACAGAGAGCAAGAAAAGTGAGGGGTAAAAAAAGTCTCTTTTTTGGAGATATACTTTTTATAATTTATTTAAAAAATAAGTGTTAAGTATTTAGAGCATCAGAACATGCTTTATGAGATGTTTTAAAGTCATTAAAAACTGTTTTTGCATTCATATGCAAGTTATATCATCATCACAATATTAAGCACTTTTATCACACATCGCAGGTTTTCCTAATATCGTGCAACACTACTGTCACAATCAACCGCAAGAATTGCACCGAAAATAAGTAGAAGCATCAAAAACTTTTCAGAAAAGCTGAAGAATTGGTGATTAAGGTATGTTTAAAAGATCACACGATTTTCAACCTCGAATTGGTTTGCTTTAAAACGTTTTGCACAGAGCGTATTGACCCGAACCAAATAGTTTGTTATCCAAAATAAATGCACACACCGTTTCCTGTCATGGGAAATAAACCCGTGTTGAAGTTCCCTTTTTATAGATCGTATCACAAATCCAGCCATGAAATAAACAGGACGGGGTCTGTGCTTTTAGAGGCATTTTTCTCATAAAGAACCAAGTCAAGTGTTTTAAACAAGCTGAACAAATGGTCCTGCTGCAGTTTAAAGCAAGTACTACTAAAAGGGAAAACGACTGGTTTTTAGCAGCATGTCAAACATGGCAGTATCTGACTCATGTTTGCTGATAAATGGATTTTTTTTTTCCAGTTTAGTGGCATCAGTGCTGAAAAACCAACATTGGTTTCATATCCTTTTTGTAGTGTCGCTCTTTCATTTCTGAAACTAAAGAAATTGCTCCTGTGTGTTTTTAAAAACAGGCTGCGTGCATCGACACACTGCGCTGCGATGTTAACAGTAAAGAGTGTTTTGTTAATCAAATATTAATGAGAGAGGCTACAAACATTTGAATAGGAAGAAAGACACCTTGTGGCGATAACATTATACTTGCTTATGTATTTTTTTTTTTTTAGTAGCTGAGAGTCATTTCCAACGGAAACCTCAGGTGTTAACCGATGGCTCGAGATCTGTTTCTGAAACTTTGCTATCAACAATTAGACTCAACTTTGTCTGTTAGCAAAATATCTTATGAACCACTGGATATATTTTAATGAAACTCACAGAAAATAATTGCTGATTGTACATTAACAGCTCATTAAAATTTAAAGTAAGCCTGATTCAAGATGGCCACCTCAGCCAAGTGACTTTAATAAACACAAAAACTGCTATAATTAAATCAGTTTTACAGATATTCAACTAAAAGTTTCTGTGGTAGTAGCTGAGAGTCATTCACTATCCATATTCTGAGCTCTGCACAGTGCAGAGTATCTTTACTTAAACCTTTTGGCATTAACTGTCAATGGCAACATTGGATGTCTGTTAGCAA